GCCAAATATCAGAAGACAGTTAATGGACCAAGTCGAGGTTTATTTGCTGGCGATCTCGTGGCATCGAAAGGATACCGAGATCGTGCCAGGATACAAGCTTGGTTACAGAACGTAACCGAATTCGCGCGAAGTTACAATCGAAGTGTAAGCGAAAGAATGGAAGCACAAAATAGCTGTCATTAGCACAGTCAAACAAAAGCACGTTAAAACAAACACTGGTACAGTTGGTTATAATAATAATTGTTTTTATTAAACCAGTCGTGTTCTCGTGATAAACGTGAGTCACTACAACTGTGTGAGGCGACATCTATAAGAAAGTCTGTGGATGCTGTTTTGATATGTAATATCCGGAAAAGCACTACTAGCTCAAGAGTGCTCTTTAATGCATCATGTTTTCGAAAAGTTTTTAAACGAGTTTTTGACGCTAATCTTTATTATATTAGACTTTCTAAAGTTTTCCCTAAACCATCCATTTAAACAAAGTCCAAGGAGTCCGACTAATAGTGACAATAACTGAATCATGGTTTGAAAATCGACATTATCTTGGTTTATATACTTCTTACATAATTAGAAGTAAAGTTGTGAAAATAATTAGAAGTTGTGATGTTATTCGTGATACTTGTTTCTTGAAACTATCGTGGAGTATGTAGACATCTGAGAGTTTATTATATTGATGTTCACATTAAACCAATACAAATGAATAGCATGATTTGCATTTAGGAGGTTAGATTCAAGACAAGGTTTTTCTTGTTTTCCCAAATGTGGTAGTCTTGTGATCGCTGTTCATTACACGTCTATATCAATCCATTTTGTATAAAATTGTTCATGTTGACGTTCATTGGAAACTACGATTTATTACTAGACTAATCAGTGTGAAGCACTAATAATTACTCATGTTTATAGTTTCCTGTTTATAATTTGAACAAATGTAAGGTGAATACAATGTGATGTATCGGAACAATATCAGAGAAATTGTAAGCATCAAATGTTTAGAAACAAATGTGAACATTTAAATGAACAAGATAGACTTATGGGTTATTTTGAATACACCATAATTATTCTACGTTATTTTAGGTTGGTCTCATGTTATACTGAGATTTCAATGGAATATTGATCCAGTATACTTTACAAAAGAAGTGAAGTTCACCTTGGGTGACATAATAAAACACACTGAACCAGTGTAAATTAAAAATCGAATCACAAGTATAGGAAACATACTTCGAAAAATTGACAATAGAATTAGTGATCTGCACACACAGAATTGATCGAAGATCAAATTACACGTATGTCAAGATTTTAATGACTGAAAAGTGTTCTATTCCCACTACAAATCAAATTCATTATATACTTAATAGTTAAATGCATATCAATCTGATGATTTATCTAAGTAGATAGCTCGTTCGCACTTGATTTCTAAAACACGTTAAACATGCATTAACAATTAGAATGACCAACTGCTTAACAGTGAATACATTTTCAGAAAAAATACTACACAAGTTCTACAGACGGATTGTTTTATGTATCAATGTGTGACTTTTGAAATTCATTTTACGACCCTAATCTTCGTAATCGAGAAAGAGATCACATTCTGTAATGCGTTCGGAAGACCTTCTTCTCACGTGTCATAGTGTTTTTAATACAACAGTAAAGAATTATTTGTGAGCATCACATGGAACAAATAACTATCACTTGATGAGCTAACGGATCAATAAACTATCCGATCAACTCTGTCAGTTACCAAGTTGGGATTCATGAACGACTGTGTCAGGGAATTGTTGTGTTTCACATGAAATTAGTAGAACAATTCAGAGAACAATGAATTCAAACAAAGTAATATCGCCTTATAATAACGTAATACTTACTAGTATTCTATCATTCAAGTGCAAAATGATCATCAAACGAATGTTATTACATCAAATTGATAAACAGTAATAAGACGATGAAGACTTATATAAAATAATATATAAAAACTGGAAAAATCATCTATCTTCTATACTGAGCCTGCTCATATCAATAAAAAGGGCAGTACAATTGCTTTTAATCCTTAGTTACAGTAATATTGAAAGAAAACATACTGTGACGGATATATTGAAATCCGTCATTTCTATGGAAGTCTAACTGGATGAACCTCTACATGGTTTACTAGCATTCGACGTAATCTATATGTCAATACAGAGAATGATACACAATTAAAATGAAGTGTAAAACATCATACAAACCTACTCAATATAGGCTTTAATTGAATTCTACAAGTAGTTTTCTCATCATACGAACACACTGTATGTTTGGATGTGAAGTGATGTGGTGTGACCTACTTATATTGATATAAGTAGTATATAACGTGCGTTAAAAGAACGTAATGTCCGGCAGCAGAAGATGGCGAAGATCAAGAAAGGAAGAGCAAGAACACAATGCAATTGTAAGAAAACGCATGTACAATGGAATGGGAGACAATGGATTAGTGTTTGCAACGGGAACAGTACAGTTTGATATGATGGAATGATATTTTGCAAATTGACGATTGACTTTATGGTATTCACATTATATTGAGATAGTCTGTAATTTTTGTGCCAAATACAGTCGATTGTCCCCACCCGTGTTCTTGTTCACTACAGTGATGCTATTGAACACACGCTTAACTACTATAACCACTTTCTGTCTTCTAGCTATAAAAGGTATGCATTCGAAATGATGTCCATTCGCAGTAGACCTAAACGAAGTATTACGGTAATCGATTTTCACATAAGATGTTTGCCAATTGTTTAACAGAATCTAGTATTCGATAATGTGAGTTACGTAGACTAGGTAATCGCCAAGCTTTCCTTGTTCGCAAATGTTTCAAATGTTTATGTTCGTTAAGGACTTCATACTTAGGAAACCTAACTAGTCAATCTAATCACCAAAATTGTTTCCACTACTAGCCTTCTACTTACACAGACTTTTGTTTCGCGTTCAATTGTTTGAAAGAGTTATCAAATATATGAGAATAAGATGTTGATGTTTATGTCCACAAGATTATTCAATATTCATTTGAGTTCGATCATACGCTTTAATACTCATTGCAAATACCATTTGGCGAACTGATCAAGATGAATAGTTGGTAGTTGAATGCAACATCTTACTCAAGAATTAAGTTCAGTGAAAATGCATTTACAATCCGTATAACTAATTATACTTCGAATACGTTATTAGATATGTAAAAGCATTGAAAGTCAATAGAGGAATATCCCCTTCAATATCAATATATGCAATTTAAGGCAGTTCAGCATAGAACGATCCGATTGACATGTTCATCAAAGTGAATTCTTGACGCAGAATTAGAATTTGCTGGAAGAACTCTTTAAATGACATGATTACAGTCAGTCGAACGTACTTTGCTGAACTGTTTAGAACATCTACCACATCATGTTTTGGATATTCTAATGGTATATTTCAATGTTTAGAAAACTTGATGTATGTGTATCATGAAATGAAGATTAACAGCGAAATCGAACTGTAGATTGTGAAAGTGCATGCACAGTAATAGACGTACTTAATTTGCTTGAATGTTATAAATTGTACCATCATTTGACATCCAGTTTCATATCATGTAAATGAGAGAAACAACACGTATAATTATCCTTCCATTAGTAGCTACTCTATTCGAATGTAATCAATTCTGGTAATTTCAGAGAGGAAATTGGAACAACATGATGAGTAATAGTAAACAAAACGATCTAACGGTCTGTTAGATTATGTGAGTGAAATAGTGGTTTTGAATAATGCGAAGGATTAAAAGAGTATGTGACGTCAAAAGTACGGCACATGTGTGGTAGACTGAATATAAATTGTAGTCACATACAGAATTTAGGCGTTAATCATCGTATCAAATACGAAGTAGGCGGTGTTTGGACTAGTGTGCTTCTAACAACTGTTGTTCATGGGTTAGTGAATAAATCGTTATTCCATCCAGTAAATTCCTATTTTGAAATAACACTATCTGTGTAGGATTGTCAAACCATTCACCATTCATGGATGAGAACACGACGAGACATGCAAGTAAAAATATATTCTATTAATATGAAGCTTTACAGAGTAGACGATGAGGTTAATACGATTCATTGAGGTTGATAGACATAATATAGTTGCAGAGGAACAACCAATACACATGCGACACACAAGTCACTTGATTTGTATGTCGGCTGTGATACTACCCGGGTGCCAAAACCGCAGCAGGTGGATTTCTTAGGAGGTAACACCCGGAGCCTTCAACCTAAAGGTCTGATCCACAAGGCAGTGTAGCTACATATCGTCCATTGAAAGCACTTAAATAAATATGGAAATATAAATTTCTGAAGTGACCTTATAGGACAGAGAATTTTATCAAAATATGGCGGTGATAACAACAATAAATAATTAAAATTGAAATTGACGATGAAACCGCATCAACAGGATAATTTGTTTAAGATTCATTACATTTCAGTGGCAACGTCTCTAATTGTGAGGTTGTTAGACACGCAATAAAAATCATCACTCTCCTCAAGACTACAGTTACAGCTTTCTCACGACGGCGTATTCACATGAAACCTAGGTTCGGGTTTTTTCAAAAACTTCCTTCAACAATCACATTACATAAATACGTATATACTGATGGTGCACAAGATGTGTCGATTCCGACCACAAAAACCAATCATAGTGTTAAAAAGAGAAATACGTGAACATCATCAATGTTTTGATGGTGTTTCACCTAACGTCATTACTCTGTAGAGAATTCATCCAACCATTGAGCACATCAAAGCGACAAGATCATTCTCACTCGGAGGTGCTATCGCTTATTCAGTAATAATGAACAAACAGTCAAATGAGTTTGTTTTATTTCTAACGAATCACTTATTCGTTGTTCTGTACAAAGTTAACCTAACCAAAGTTCAATGAAAAAAGTAACCACTCATAAGTTAACAGAGTCGATTCAAAGTAATTGGTGAATTCCGTTATAAATTCGTTTAATTTTATTGAATCATTTTTACTGTGAACAGCAAAATCATTCCATGTGAGTTTGTTAAATTCTATCAAATGATAGGAATTAAGGTTGAGTTTAGATTTGTTGATAACTTGTATTATGAGTAGCAATAAAAACCGGTGAGTTTAATGTTATAGGCTAACTACAATATAGAACTCTCAGCACAAATGATTCCAAATAGTTTCTTTTACAAACATGAGAGAAATTCTTATAGATTCCCATGTTTTGGTGTCCCATTCTTCCTCAGTATGTTGAAGCTGAGAGATATGAATAAAATGGATGTTAAATATTTGAAAAGATATCACTTGTCTGCAGTTTGCGAGATTTCCGATGTCTATCAATAACCGTGTTTGTAATGAACTTGGTATTGTTTGCTTGTATCTTCACACTGTTGTTCAGAACTGCAATTTATCAGTTTCTTGTTGGCATATTTGCATCCATTGTGAATTGCGTCGATGTTGCCTTAAGTCACAAGCTTTATAAGCAAAGATGGATAGTGGCTAGCAAAGGGCGAAACGCGCTTCCTGGATTCCACTGCCAGCCACTATACATCTTTGCTTACAAAATCATGTTCATATTCATCTCGAAAGACTCACCACACAACGTAGTCACTGCCTTCAGTGCTCTCCACAATGCAACAAAATCTTTTCTGAAAATCATCGGAAAGAATAACGGAGAAGAGTAGTGAATAGTCACTGTAAATGTCGAGCGATGCGATTAGCATTTAGCCTCACCATATAAAAAGACAGGTAGAAAACGTTTCTTGATAAGAATACCAGATGGGAAGATTAAGAAATAGAAAGTGTAAATTTTACACCACAATAAGTGACCTTTGACATTATTTTCATTACGGAATTTCCAATAGTACAAACTCCATCGCAGTAAGTCAGGGTGTTTGAGTATTATTCGTGATATAAAGAGGTACAAATAATCACTTCTTATGCACACAGTGGAATTGTTAAAATACGAACAAAGTATTTTCCCTAGAAATCGAGAGGACAGTCACTCTTCGATTGTATGATATCCACTTGTAAACTGTGCCCAAATAACCACAAATTTATCATACCTAAGTGATTTGAATTATTTTCTGTGGTTGGTGTTTTTTAGTGAGAGAGTTTTCTACGGAATGTGGTCACTAACCCTTTGCTCAACCCTCCCGCTTTATCGTGGTACGGGACCGGCAGTAACCTCAGGGGAGCTCCAGGCGGACGTGGATTTTTATCATAGTGAAATAAATAGATTAACGTAAGAAACAACATAATTCCATTGAGTATTATTTATTGATATGAATAAATTGGTCAAGGTTAACTATCCTCACCAGATCTAGCGCAATAACGTTAATGACTTTACTTCACTGTATTCAGTGAACAGCTAACGTGAATCTAATGAAATCGATTTTCATCGGCTGTCGGTCTTGTTTATGAATCTCGTAATGATGATACATACAGCAAACTAGTCAGATAAAAGTCAAATCCTGTACATGAATCCATACCTGTTGAAATACAATGAAAAAAGAAAGGAATATGCATGCGAATGAAAATACAAGGTTTTACGTAATTCATGAAATTGATTATTTCCATTACTGTATTGTGAATTCTTACTTATTTTAGTCAACGTTGGAATTGGTGATCGTGGAAGGTGAATTTTCAAAGGTGACTTATCCACAAATCTCGATTGCAGATAGTTCAAAGATGATTAAATTCGAATTTGATAATTTGTCAAATGAAACCAGTCAGAATAATTCTACTTGCATGTAAGATATTTTTCATTCCATTTGACAGATTCAGCTTTACTCAGTATACGGAACCAGTTGTTCTCAGTGGTCTCATATTAACGTAAGTAATATATGTTTATAATATACGTATTCCCCGAGAATCATAACGACGATTTTCCATGTATCACTATTACGTATTATTCATCGAACCGATTAATACACTGTTATAAGTCATTTGACCCGTGTTTGACAAGAATGTTATGACTGAGGAACAGAAAATTAGTTTGTTCAGTTTGTAGTGCAAACAACTCTCATTTTTTGTTACATCACATCATAATAAATGATCATACTGAAATATCTTTAGGTACTTATTTGAATTCATAAATATTGGTACAAAGGGTCAGCGAGTACATATACGACACACAAGTCACTGGATTTGCGTGTGAGCTGAGACACTGCCAGGGTGATCGGATCGAAGCAAGCGGTTTTCTTACGGAGCAACACCCGGGACCGTCGTCTAAAACGCCTGATACACAAGTCAGTGGAGCAACGTCAGGAGATGCAGTCCCACAGTAGCCAGTGGACAAGAATAGTTTCACATGCCATTTCTTCCCACAGTATCCTGGAGCCATGCGCATCATCATTCGTTTGTAGTCAGTGTTTTCCAACTCCCCCAAGTGGACTCTCCGTGTTCACTAATCAGGATGAAACGCTGAACATTTGCCTTTCGTCCTCTCAATTTTGCAAACAACACCCAAACCATCAGAGGACAGTGAGTAGAACTTCTCTGGCAAAGGTTGTATACGCGTGTCCATGTGAGAAAATTTCGAGATGGAGACCTATTTCTCCTCAACCTCGGCCATACCAGGGCATTCTCAAGATGAAATAAGATATTCAAGACGACCAATCATTAAGTATTCTGACAAGTTTCACGAACTTTTGAAAATGTCGAACTGAGACAGTGAGCAACTTGTTCAACCATTTCATACATACAGATTATGTAGAACACCTGATGCACATCACTATGGCCTATTGTATATGTGAGTTTAGTATGTTGTACATTTCTCTTTTTTGTTCTTCAGATTTATCGGATTAGTTCTTGGATTAATAATCATATTTATTAATAATCTACATACTACATCCACAATGAACACAATCATCATCGTGATAACCGTCAGTTGATTATGATCTTAAAATTACATTCATGGTATTTTCATTCAACCATCAATTGAATTTATTGTAGATTTGTTTGTTTAATAATGTAAATATTGTCATATTATTTTGATAATGGCTATCAAGATAAAAGAATGTTTGAAGGTTGACTTGAGCAGATGAGTTTCGATGTTGAATTTTAAGATACCATTATGTTAAGAGATCCAGTTTCTATAGTTTCACTGATTTCATTGGTGATTCGTTCGTTTATGGGCTATTACTTAACAGTTAACTGGTGAAAATAATATATCAATAAAAGATATCCGTCCATGTTATGGGTAATTCAGATATTTGTAGACGTGTAAACACGTGATACCGGTACATTCTACTCTCATCTACGTTTGTTGATATCATCATTTGTAAGATATGGAATGGGTTGTAAACACAGAACAACTAAACAAATTGAATTTCTGTCATCTTAATTTGTGTAACCATCCACACACTTTATCTGCCACTGAACTTGTGTTTAGTGATACATGATTCATCATTTGGTGCCTCAAGTTGCAGTCACCACTAGCCGTCGTGGTTTTAGGTTTACGCAAGTTAGTATAATTCACACACTATAAGTAATAACTCTCACATAACATGGTCATGTGTACTAGATGAGCGAATTAGCTTTGAAACTACTTCATGTTTGTCAATATGATAGACTTGGATAAGCATTCCTTGCCAAGTGCTTGTATCCATAAATACTCATTTTAAAGCATTTCAGTCGAATGCAGAACAGTGAAGATTATTATTTCATTATTTCTACAGTTGTTGACCGATTCATCTTCTGAACTAATAAGAATTTGACACTACTTTTTCTCTATTCAGATGATCTTTATAATTGTTGGTGTTGTATTACTAATGTCAGTCGGAAAATGGTACGAACAAATTATCTCTGTATCTATAGCTACCGCGCTCTTCATCGTAGCCTTTTTACTGGATGTAAAGCTACAAGGTTCAAAAAGAAGATGGAAGATAATTTTGTTCACGATGTGTTGTGTATTTGCTGTAACTGGGTTGATTTTCTTTGTTTTCGGGGTGATATTTGATATCGTAAGTTGATTTAGTCAAAGATTTCTACAACCTACTAGTGGTTTTCTGAAATAGCTACAGTTGTCCTAATAAAATATTGCCAATAATGAATACCGATGTAACGTTTCCAACACTGAAATACAAATACATCTTCAATTCATATTTCATTGAGGAATATTCCAAACAAATCTTTGTTTTCAGATACATGTTCAACTATGTTGAATGTTTATTCACATCACTTCGCCGCCATAGTAAATACAACAGTGTTTCCACCATCATATTTTCATCACGTATAAATTGCTTAATTAATCCAGTTTCCTTTACACACGAACTAAAACTGGTAAACGTCTGCAATTTGATGTGAAGTTTACACTGTATGTTGTTAATACGAAGCATCATGAAATAATGTTATCATTTGAGAAATTGATTCTCAATACTATCTATATATTATGGTCGTGTAACAAAATGGTAATTACAGCCAAACCAGAACAGTTTATCTTCAAGCAACGATTTCACATTTGTGGAATAGGTAGCTCGAATGTTTCATGATACAGTCTTTGACGAAACTAATTCGTTGTTTAAACAACCGTCAAGCATGAGACAGAATGATTACATGATGTGCGAATTCACAATAACAGACTGTTTGGTCTCATACATGAATTGGTACATAATAGTTTAAAATTGGTAGAGTTAGTTAATAGAGTAATTTTATTTCTTCACTGATTTTTATGTAGATCTGTGATGAAGTTAGGTGAATTGTTTTCTTTTCTTTATTTTAGAAAGGTTTACTAGTTGCAACCTTGGTTTGTTGGTGCGGCGAAATGTTAATTGTAAGTTCTGAACGAATAATCGAATTCAAGTACAAACAACCGTTCATTGATTATTATGCATTCAAACATAGCGTTCTGTAGAAATTAGAACTTTGAAGCATTAGTGTTCACTATTCACAACATTCACAGGCATTCATCACGAAAAGTTTCAAAGCAAACACAACGAGATGCCAAGCTGAATGGCTGAAAGAGAGGCGTTGAGTTGTTGGACAGCTCAATCTATATGATTCTGTTGTAAAAACGATCATCTGTCAATATTTGACAGATAAAAATACAAGGCACTTACTGTTCATTTGTAATGTATAAATATTCAGAGGTTACTAAGTGCGTAACCCTAAGTCATTAAATGCCTATTATTTCACTGATACATAAATTGATATGAATGCATCGATAATGAAGTATTTATCTACACTTTCATAACTACAGGTGATTACTTGCACAAAATATTATCTGGATAGCTACCGCAAATCACGACAGTTTTCTACACTGTACTGTGTTTTCCTATTGATGTATGAATACATCGTACTTCTCATCAGTTTAAAATTTTCTTTAAATTCAGTCATTGATTGTGATTGGAATAACAAGACAATGATTAGACACGATGAACAGATTCTGTTCCACTGAATGTTTTAATCAGTTCACAGATATTTAAGTGGAATATTTTGAAGATTATTGTAAACTGCTTTGTTATTCATAATAGACTTCCTATTAAATAGATATTTGTTTGTTGAATTAGATATCTGGATTGAAAATATTCGTTTAAAATATAAACAGACTTTACAGACAAATGCTTTTTTATACAGCTAGGACTACTGTGAATATTGATCAATAGGAAAATGACACGTGAAATAAATACTGACCAATAGTAAAATGACACCATTTCACGTTCAAGGATGGCATTAGACTTAACAGGCTAATTTTTGGGATATTTTTCTGAATATCGCAACACATCCCTTTGGAAACGTTAATAGCGACGTAACGAAGTGTTTACTTGAAATTTCTTTGGTTATCTTCGCTTGCGATCCGACCTCCAAAGTAACCACTCAGAAACAGAGGGATGTTCTGCTCCAGTAGATGACTCAGTTTTCTCTGTTTTAAGTGTTGCGGAAGTTGAAAAGTATCCAACAGCTAGTCAAGTGGGACGCGTTTCATAATTGATTCTTTCTCCCTAGCTTTCCTTGGCCTTAGTTGATTCTGGTGCCTGGTACAGATATCTTGGTTCACCTTGACATCATATATGACGTTCCCATGTTTCCTTGTGACTTCAACGTCTACCCATCTATCACATCCGTGTTTATAGTCCCGTGCATACACTTCCGCACCAACTACGTAAGGAATTCGCGTAATCTGCATCTGAGGGCTTTGCTGGGTCACTTGCTCGGGTGACATCACACTACCAACTGTTCGTAGCTTTCGCCCCATAGGCATCTCAGCAGGAGATTGGAAAGTTGGCAATAAGTCGTATGGGGTGGTCCGGTACACAACTAGAAATCGTTCTATGATATCTCCTCTGGTCCCCTCCACTCGTGCTTTAAGCACGGCTCGTTTAAATGTATCAACGAACCCATCAGCTTGTTCATAAAATTGCGGATGATATGGCGTAAAACGTACATGGTTGATCGAGGTTTGCAGGCAAAATTCTCGGAATTAGCTTGGTGTGAATTGTGAACCACTGTCTATTACTATTGTTTCTGGAAGACCATGCTGAGCGAAGATCTGATTAGGGAGTTTGATGGTTCGAGTTGTAGCGGGTAGCGCAATTGTCAATAGCTCCGGCCATTTGGAGTAGAAGTCAACCAGTATCAGATATGTTGTACCATCTAGGGGTCCGGTGAAGTCAATATGCACTCGCGATCAGGAATTTTCCGACTTTGGCCAGGGTACTGGAGGCAAGTTAGGGGTAATTTTCGCAGCTGTTTGACAATGTGAACATCTTTTGATGAAGTTGAAAATCTGCTTGTCCATGTTTAGCCAATATGCATAGCTGCGAGTGATGGATTTCATCCGGTTTATCTTCGGGTGTCCAGAGTGAAATTGACGTAGGACCTTGGAACGTAGGGTTGTTGGAATTACTACGAGTTCATCGAACACCAGACAATCGTTAACAACACAGAGGGCGCTGGACGATTCGCTAGTTGTTGCATATCACCACTCAGCTGTTTAATTGTCCATGTGCTCTGAATATAGGTGATCGCTTCTTGGAAAATCGGGTGTTCTCTGGTAGCTTCCCGAACATCTTTTGCGATAACACGCATTGCTCGAAAGGCATTCGATAATAGTGTAGCACCAAAATCCTCTCCCGTTGATATTATGGCTATGGTTACCAAAGGACAACCGGGTATACTGAAAAAGTCCTCGGTGAGTGCTGACTGTCAAAATCTCTCTCGATTCAAGAGCGACTGGAATTTGAAGGTAAGCATCCGCCAGATCGAGCTTAGCAAAGTAGGCGCCACCACTTAAAATAGTAAATGAGTCACCTGGGATCGGCAGCGGATAGTGATGCTGTTGTGGAACCGCGTTGAGTCCTGTGGAAAAGTCTGCACCGATGCGTATGGAACCATTGAATTGTTTTACAGCCCACGGTGAATAAGAAACAGGTACTAGAACACCCTCAGTTTCCAAACGTCAAAGTTCAGCGTCAACCAGTGGTAGAGATGCCTATGGAACTGAATGTTTTTAGCGACAAACTGGCGTGGCTTCTGGCTGCAGTCCTAAAACAGCTTTCGTTGTGGAACAAAGTTCGAGACAAGGTTGGAAGAGTTCAGTATATCGATTTTGAAGGTTTGCAGCATGCTGTTGTGTAGAAGCAGTAGTTTGTACTTGATAGCAGATAGCGCTAATGAGAAGATCAGCGAGACCAAGTTCTTCGAACCAATCTAAACCTAGAAGGTTGAGCGGAGAATTGGTGATGTAGCACTGTAGAATCCAAACTACGGTTTGGACTGCTGAATAGCCTTCCAGGTACGTTAGACACGCGCCCTTGCCCGTCGAAATCAAAACAAGTAATCGGGTAAATTGCGGTTCTATAATCCATCATAAATTTAAATGTATATCGTTACCTAAACAAATATTACCACCCGGCTATTCAACCAATAATTGTTCAATCAATCAAATCTACATTACAATTAATAAAGAAGTTGATAAAAGATGAGGGAAAATTACCAGTCACAACAAATGAACGTTATTCTATCCTGACTGGATAGAACACACACACAAAAGGAGGAGCAAATCAATATGGCTACAGCCAAGAACAAGTGTTAAGTAAAACAACGCAGATGCAGTTCAGGAAGAAACACAAACTTAGTAAATGCGTAATAAAAACAAAAACTATAACAAAAAATACAAATATTAACAACCCGAATGTAATCAAAAGACTAACAATGTACAACTAAGGGAATCAACAGAAACAAAGTGGAAGTGTACATAGAGGGAACTTCACATACACACACACACACACACAAAACATTCAAAACGGATCTTACAGCACTCACCATTGAAGGTTGTACCTTTGAATGAAATGCAGTAATAGGGTTCATCATGAAGGCGGAGATGACCCCCTCAGGCACTGACGGTTGTCTGAGAGGATGGTTTGGTAGGGGGTTTGCCCAAGTTTCGCCAAGTCATTTTCGAAAGAATAATGATATCTGATGCAGTATCCAACTGCAGCCGAACTAGCTGACCACTGATTGAGAGGGCCAGATATTTGCATCGAGTCGCGGCATGAGTGTGGAAGACTACTGCCAAACTCCTTGATGAGGCAATCGGCTTTTTGGGAAAACGACGCCGTGTCTGTGCATTTCGACGGTTATTGGATCGGTTGGATTTGGGAAAGTAGCGTTTGTGACCAATTTTCGGACAGCGATTGCACGCATGCTGTTTGAATGGACAAAACGTCATATAATGCCAGGCTCCACAGTGCCAACATGGCGACGGGGGCCTTGTGGTGGACCAAAAAGTATATTAACCAAAAATTTGCAATAAAGTTATTACGTCCAAAAGTTAATGTAACAGTGACAATTTATAAATTAGTAACACAAAATCTAAGTTCAAGGACGTTACTTAAATCAGCTAGTTGTCGCGTATTCCGTTGAGTTTTGGTACCAAAATTCACAATTATAAATGAGCAATAACTCCGATGAGGTAAATATGACTCCAGTAAGTTTCCTTGACGTAGGATGTAATAGTTATGGCACAACAGTCTAAAATGTGGATAATATTCGATTTAGAATGCGATTGGCTCGATAACGAGTGAGAACAGAACAAGGAGTGTGTGTGTGTAGTAATGTATTTGTGAACAACCACAAGTGTGTCACGCTATGTCAGTATTACAACGGAAAGAGTGTTCAAGGTCATTTACTAAAACAACAGGTACGATCATTTAATGATTAATATACAGACAGTGAAAGATTGACAAAATAAATACAAATAATATTAAAAACTATTTACAAAATAAGCTCGTCGGGTTCTTCTGAGATGGTTTGAAGTGATTAGAGACAGAAATGGCGCTGGCGTTCGACAGACTCGGGGTTCTCGATCTCGAGGAGCTTTTTTATGTTGAACAGCATGAACTTCGGAACCATTCTTGCCCCCAGAGTGAACCAAAGTGGGGTCACACTGCAGATTGATGATGCGTTGGAACTCGTCTATGATCGCAATGAAAGTCAGTGTTCGGTCTTGTTCAAGGCGGTTAAGATTGAATAGTGGCGTCGAAGTAACGGTCACGTGGGTTCTGCGTAAGAATGAAGTTGCAATACTTGTCGAGCTCGGATGGACCAAGTTTCCGAAGGACAAGACACAACTTCCACGAATCATCTCTGTCGGCAAAGTCAACTTCGAAAAGATCTTCATAACGCCTGAACCAAGTATCGAATGTAATATTGGCGTCACGATCGTAAAGAAATTCCGAAATACCACTTGCAATACCATCAACTGATTGAGGAATTATCGATATAATTGGGGCTCGAGAAGATGTGTGCGCCTAAGTAATCAACTCCACCAGCTTCAGCTGTTGTTCGAACAATTTTTCTAATTTGGCTGGATTCATAGTTAGTCAACAACTTATTTGCTAAATCTCCGTCGCCGAATTAGTGTGGACCACGGGTTGGCTACTCTAATTTCTATTGACTGACCAACTTCAGATATCCCAGTACGACCCCAATACTGTTCCCCAATCTCCAATATATCAGAACACAAACCGTAGATGAAAATGGTTTATGTGGTCAGGAGAAGAATAAGAGTAATACTTTACAGGCAAATGCATATTCATACAGTTAGGACTACCGTGAATATTGACCAGCAGGGAAACAACACGTGATTTGATTATTGACCAATAAGAAAATGACACCATTTCACGTTTAAGGATAGCATTAGACTTAACAGGATAATTTTTGAGATATTTTTCCGAATGTCCCAACACAGACATTGAAGCACATTTCGATTATACTTGAAATTACAACAAACCAAACTGACTAGTATGCTTTGCTCAACGATCATATTTTCCAATTACATACGTGTTGTGACTTTGACAAATGACTTATTTTTTTAATGATTGGTTTTGTTTGTCTGACACTGTTTGAGATCGATGGTATCCATTGGTTCTCCAGGCAACATCAACCATTTTATTTCCACATAAAAGCAGGCAAAGAAAATTTCTCCTCTTATTAGTTGAATATATTGTCTTTCGAACTCGGCATTCATCGTCACTGTTGATTTCCCTCTTTTTTATCATAACCTATTTCCATGACGCTTTTGTTTTATAACGTGTACCAATTTCAGTATGTTCAGTGAC